TTAATATCTCCATTATTCTGGTTTACGAGAACTCTGCCCTCATCAGTGAAGGGTACATGTCTTCTCATTTTCAATCGTTCAAGACTCAATCTCAATGTTCACGTGCAAAATACAAACTTCTTAAAATCTCGTGTGAACTTCTGGCTTGCACAGCAGTTAACTGTGTCATCCCGTTGTGAAGTATACCCTGTTTCTGCCTTTACTCCTCCTCAGAAGAGAATTGGTCAATCTTGAATGATGGCGTTAAGAGCTAGTAAATCTTAAAAAAAAAACTTTACAACAGCTTTATTTAAAATGCAGTCTAGTGTCTATGTTACGGTAAATATACATGAGCCGTTGTTCTCTTTTATGATATTATTATTTGTTAGTACTAAGGTTACATTATGAAATAATCACTGATAAATTAATGTGATTAATTTATTACTTTTACCTCGACTTGCGGTAATTATTCATAATAACCGGTAATTAGTAATAGTTTTCACATTTATCACATTTACCGTAACATCTACACAAAAACCCGCTGACTTGCCGACATGTCATGACGTCATGTTGTCAAAAGTCATGGAAAGTACAAGTTTAAATTTTATACTTTTTTGTGTTTCACTAAATGTAAGTGTGCCGATGTGTACTGCCTGTACCAATTTCACCAATTTTTTGTCTTTTGTAACTGATATTGTCATCTCAGTACAACAAGTAGAGCCGTTGCATACATAGAACTATATTATGTCCTTTATGTATGCAGTAATTGTGCAGGCGACAGCATATCAGTTTATAATATTATTTTAATTACATTTTGATGCGAAATAGCACTTTATACTTAATACAAAAGACGCTAAAGAAATAATTAGCTTGATGTGCTTCCGCCAGTACCTACAGTTGGGTGGTAGAAGGGTGTAAGTGAAACCAAGTGTTTTTTTACATGATTTATAATCAATTATTTGATTGATGTTGCTTGAAGCTTTACGACAAAGCATGGCAAATAGCTACTAGATATGCCGAAAATGAGATGTAGCAAATGTATGTTATCAATGTGAAAGATCAAAATATTTTTTTTCTAAATCGGCATAAAATACATTACATAGGTACATCAAATACATATTAGAAATGCTAATTTTTAAATGAAAACATGTCCTCATCATAGTTTTTAGTACATATTACATAGGCTCTTTCTCTCATCGGGCTCATCAACTTGTATAGGTTACAGAATTTCGAAAATTTAACTTGAAAATAGAATTAACTTGGACCATAAAGAAAATATTGATAACCGTTGTTTTTAGATTAAAGTTAAATCAGCTGGAACATAAATACCATGTACCTATAATATTGATGGGTTGCCATCCCCACCCTTCAACTGAAATAAAATATCATCAGTGCTATAAGAAAAATGGCTTACTACTAAAAATCATATTATCTATATATATAAAAATGAAACCCGTTTTCCGTTGTCACGACATAACATGAAAACGGCTTGACCGATTTGGCTGATTTTTTTTTTTAGTTTTCTAATACTCTGTACAAGGTTTTTACGGAAAAAAATATAAAGAAAATCTCTACGCTAAGGCGGTACGAAGTTCGCCGGGTCAGCTAGTAGAAAATAAAAGATTTTCGTAAATACGTGTTAAGAAACATGCCAGAAAGTTAGTCATAGCTATTTTTCTGCTGACCCACTTCAGCTTCGTGAGGGCGTTATATGCGTATTTCAGAGAAACATTAATTATACCTAGAGCCATAATAATTATATTTGCCGATAAATATTAAACATATTTCGATTACAATTTTCGATTACTTCTCCAATAGGTATTCATTTATTGGGTGCCTTTTTTGGTCATCCACAGCTACTAGATTATATTCGTTTATTAATTGATTAATTTTATTGAATACTAGCTGACCCGGCGAACTTTGTTCCGCCTTAATGGCAATAAATAAGCAGACTTTTTTTTTATTTCGAACGGGATAAAAAGTATCCTATGTCCTTCTCCTGGCTCTAAACTACCTCCCTGACAATTTTCAGCTAAATCGGTTCAGCCGTTCTTGAGTTATAAGCGAAGTAACTAACACGACTTTCTTTTATATATATAGATTATCGAATATTTTTCGTGATTATAATGCTTGACGGCCTGTCTGGGTAGTGACTTGGTCAGTCACCGTAGAGTATACAGGTTCGAGTCCTGATCGTGTTAATGTAAAATGATTTAAGTAGGTATACAATCGTAGCTTGGAGAATTATAATTGTGCTAATATTTAAACTTTATTGTATCCCACAATTCTGTTTAAATAGGACCATCGTTATGCAGACTGTAATGTTACAGAATTAGAATTTTCACCCAAATTCCTGTTTTATTGTGACAAAATTATACACATTTAATATCTTTATCAGTAGCTTTCTCCGCATCTTAAGCTTACCGCATTTTATTGGAGCTTTTTCTTTTTTTTTTGCTTTAGGTTACATTGTATTACATTTTTTTGACATCAAAACTGTTATAATATTTTTTACCTTTGATATTAAGTATATTGTGTAAGGATATTGGATTCTATTCGCTAAACATGTAAGTTTATATGTATGCGGCCGTTTTACTTAAGTAAGAAGCATAAAAATATTCGAAGGATACTTTGGTTTTTGCATAGAAATGGATGCTCTATATTTTCTCTAATTGTTCAGTAATTTATGACTAGACTAGATCAGCTTTTTAATGTACGTGTAAGCTGTAAATATTTGAAATCCATCTTAAGTAGGTATCTAATATTTAGAAAAAAAGTGAAGTTCCACATTTAAGACAAAAATCTTTTAACCAACTGGAAACTACTAAAACTATTCGTGTAGTATTCTTCAATTACATTCATTTCACTAATAACGTTAACGTTGTTGTTTTATATAAAAATAGGGGTACATTCACTTTATGGTAAATATCGAAATTCCATGTTTGTACTTTAACATTCAATAACCTGATTTAATAGAATATGAAGAACAAAATTCGCAATTATCGCTTATTATTTCGATTATTTTAATTAATTACATTCACCAGAAGCAATAACAGCATTTTTGTGTGAACAATGTAACAATAAATAGGGCGTTACATTGTATTTTAATTAATTTATAATATTTAATTTAATGTTGAGCTTGCCACGGGTGCTAATGGGTTCAGCATAAGAATTAATGTAGACAAAACTTCTTTCATACATTCGGTACTACAAAGTTTCCCTTTTAATGTGTTTTGTCAATCAAAATCTTATTTTGTGTTCTTTCATTCATTTTTACTATTTTTAGGATACACTATGTACCTAACTGTACAATAACTAGTCTTTTACGACGTTTTCCGAAAATCGAAATTTCTGTGTACAAAGTAATTGATTCCATTGCCCAGTCTTAGTTAATTTCAAACTTTTTAAGTAAAAGTCATAAACTTAACCATAATAAATATGTTTATGGTAATAAATGCCCAGATTAACCTTATTTATGTAATATGATCATAGTCATAAAAACAAACGGGAAACAAAACCCTTCCTTCAGAACCTGATTATGTAACAAGTTTAACATGTAAATTATGAAGTTCTTTTAATTTGGGATACTTTAATTTATAAGAAGATTATTTCCCAATGTTCAAGTCAGAGCTGTAAATGCAAGTAGACAAGTATGTGGCTTATTTATTACAATTACTAGAAATACATTTTAAATATCACATTCTCACATAGGTACTCTTCGATACTCACTATGTATACGAGTAATAAAATAATAATAATTTGATTCCTCGACTCAATTAGTGAGCTGATGGAGTCCAATTCCGTATTTTTTTCCGTGAATTTAAAAAAAGGTTTATTTACATACAGGTAGGTACGAGTTACCTATATAGCATAAGCGCTATTTGAACATTTCTATATGTTGTCCAGTTTTTTTCGAAACAATATACCTACTTAGTTTGATGATTCAATATCATATAAATGTTATTAAACATTAAAAGCATTAAAGTTGAGCAATAGTTGTATTTAAACTAAATGATTCTTTCAATTTTAGTTCGGCAAAAAGTATATTATTTTATCAATAAAAATGAGATCATCTTTTATGGAATTACATAATTTAGGTATTTCGAACATCATTACCCAATTATGTTTAAATTCAAACCGAATGTCATTACTTATTACTGAACATAAACACCCATGTTTTGGTATTAGCTATCTAAAAGTATATTATATCTTTGAAATATATAAATATTTGGAAGATATATTCTTTGAGAAAATTTATTTACACTTTTACATTTATCACTTCAGTTAAGAAAATATATATACTTAATTTTTTATACATTAACTTAACAATTTGCTTTAGTTGCTTAGGAAAGAGAGATAGCGTTGTTGACATTCATGGTCAATATTTATAATCACTATCCAGCTGTATTAATTATTATGATATTTTAAAGAAACGTGACATTGATATCAATGTACAAATACCATTTTAGAAACCCGTATTTATGAAAACAGTTTATATGCATCTACTTTTTCTTTTCAATTAGGTGAACAGTTAAAACTATACATATAAATATTACAAGATTTATACATTTGAAAACGTCATCTTATAAGACAATCCTATTTTTGAAAAATCACGAAAATAAACATAAATCTCCAACCATCCTAATATCTTGAAAAAAAATTTTTCATTGGGAAATTTAAAAAATATTTCAATCAACCTATAAGAGTACTGGCGACTGCATAGTTTGAAGTGCTGACTGTACAAATACTTGAGATCAACATTTTAAGGTTTATAAGTCATTTAGAATCATCATAACAATAACAATATCATACATGTTACATACCATAATATACAAGGTTAATATTTAGATAAAGTTGCATCTACACGTTTAAGTAGGGATCACATTTGTTGATAAAAATGTGTATTATACAATAAAATACAGAGATCATAGTGTCCTAACGCTTAGAATAATCCTTACAAGGGTTCAATCCCTTTGAAGTCCCATACACTTTTAATTAAAACTAGTTTTGTGCAGTTTTCGTTCGTAGTACCTAAGTTAAATTTAATCAAAATTTTTAGCACGTGTCGTGAATTTGGATCTTCTTCTTTCGTCTTGAATACCTGCAACTTTTTCAGACACCCGCTAAAAATTTTAAGCACTAAGTGTCTTTTTCACATCTTGAGTCTCCCATTGTTTCCAGGTTTCCTTGCCTTCCTTGTGTTATTATTTTACACATGAGCAACTTTTCCGTTTCCTTTTGCAATTTTGATTTTGATGCTTGTTGCGACTTTTTTAACCTATAAAACAAAACAAATATTAGTAAGTGTTTTTGTCACTTCTTGAAAAGTACACAGTTTTCCGCAATATAATATTTTTAGTGTTTTTATGTATTTAATTGTGTTTTGGTGTATTTAATGTTTTTGGTTTATAGAAGAATTTTAGTTTTTGTTTTCGCGCAATTTGTTTGGACACTAATTGCTTCACTACCACTTTCTCTTCGTCAGGTCATTTGGCATTTGACACTGACGGCATTTGACACTAATTGTTCCACTTTGTGCCTTCGTCAGGACATTTGGCATTTGACACTGACGGCATTTGACACTAATTGTTCCACTTTGTGCCTTCGTCAGGACATTTGGCATTTGACACTGACGGCATTTAGAGGAAGAGTTTTAATTGGGACCAGCTACAGCGGTCGTCGCTGACGGATCCTGAATGTGATTTCGGATCTGAAAAAAAAAAGAAAAATTTGCATAAGACAAACTGCAATTGGTTCGAAAAACTGGCTGAAAGTTGTAAAAATTCCAAAGAGCATTTATGAGACACCAGAATGTCTGCTAAGCTACTTTATACATTTTTATTACAAAAGTTAAGTATTAGTCTAGGAAAATGAATATTTCGAGCATGTTTAAAAACTAAGTATTAAAAGTTTTTCGTTACGCAAAATCATAACTTCCTAGCAATATAAGATCACACATCGCCTGCACTAATTACTGTAACTCAAAAGAATTTCTAGCGAATTTGCTCAAAAGAGGCGATGATATAGCTAGATTTGATTTAGCACTTATTAAAATGATCCGTGTCTTTTTTTCTCTTGTTCTGATTAATTTTGTTATTTAATCAGTTAAACTTCAAAGGCTTACCTGTAATACGTTAGCGATGTCCAAGATAATATGGACTAGTGTTGGATGGTCAAACAGATCTTCGGGCATGGGAGGAGAGCACCGAGGCCGATGGGTCCGGCCTCGGAACAGCCGGTGCATGCGCAGCACGGCTTCGCAGAACACGAATCGTAGGAGTAGCAGGCGCAAGAAGTCATCGCCCAAGAACGACAGGAATGTTGGGTCTGGAAATGATAAAATTGATTACATCTAACCCAATTTTAAAGAAGTGGAAAAAAATCAAGCCGACTAATGCCGGTTGCAGACAAAGAGCGTTTTTATAGTTTGCAATTTGTCACAACTATGGAATACAATGTCAGCTATGCGAGCAAAGCTGAAATAGCTCCAGGTCTGCAACCACATTAAGTTACGCTCAACGCCTCGAAGGTAGTGCTTATGAAGACCACAGCTTCTGAAATCACCAGTCCTTCGAGCAGTTGCAATGATGGTTATGGTCTCAAACTTACCGATTCTACTCCTGACGAGTATGCTAGAAGCTTCTGCCATGAAGGTGTCCAGAAGCATCTGGGCTCTATCCCAGAGAGCTACGGTGACGCTGCTCAGGTCGCAGCAGTGGCAGAGACCTTCCAGCGGTGAGTGCAGGAAGAGAGTGAAGAGACTGCCTTGCCTCCGAGGGTCTGGAAGTGATGGATGAAGGTTTTGATCAGCATTTGAGGATTCTCGGAAAGATAACAAAACAGCGATTAAAGCTTTGCTTTGTAAAGCGTTAAGGTTATGATGATAGAGCACAACACATGAAAGTTTAATGATGAAAAGACAACACTAGGTTTATGGTGATGGTGAAGTATTTGGTGTTACAGATTGTCTTCTTTTTGTGTACTAGGTGTTTTAAATCATCACAAAAAGAAGTGATGATGATTCTAAAATAACACCAGTATTGTAAAACTGTATAGGTAGTTTTATTTTATGTCGATGAAATAATGTTATAACTATATTATTATGTGTTGAAGTAATATTATGTGACGTTAGAGATTATGACTGTATTAAGGCCATTATGTATAATTATTGAATCGCAGCTGAACACTAAAGCTTGTATGTTAACTTAACTAAAAAAAATCTCAATTATTGTTAATTAGTAGATTTGGCCAGATTATGATGATTGGAGAGAAAGATAGAATATAGGTAGGTATGTATAGTGTAAAGTTTTAATGTTTGTTTATAAAACAAATAATGGTTACATACCTTGAAGAAAGAGGTGCAACCGTGAAAATAAGTCACACGTGAAGTAAAAGCTGCTGGATAGGAAAGTCTTGTGCAAATTAGAATTGGTCTAAAGTCATAGCTTAGTTATTGGGACTACTATTTGGTAATTTTTTTACCACTAATCATAGACTTGAGATAATTTAACAGCTTATAGCTTTAGCTCCCGGAATGCGAACCGGGGGGTACATTTATACAAAGGTAAAATTTTAAAATAATTATGTAAGAGTTAACATTAAGCAAGTAGTTTCATTGTCAAAATCTTCCAAAGTTTGTTAATTATGAAGAATATAAAATTTTGAAAATATGCAAATACATTGAACACTCAAATGCTCGAAAGGGCATTTTAAACAGATGGCATTAAATCTTGACTTATATTACATTCAAAGACATTTAAAAAAGGCGGTAGTAAAGCTCCATGTTCTATAAATAGACATCAATAGACCACAAATGGAAGACGACAGTGTCAACACCAAAAGCACACCGTCAAATCGTTTCTAGCTTACCGTGGAAGGAAGGCGGCAAGTCCAGTGGAGACATCAGTATTACCAGGGGCTGGCCGAAGTGCCTTGGCATGTTCTGGAAGGCGTAGGAGTTGTCGGAGTCGACGACGACGAAGAGCGGCCGCCTGGTGTACGGGTACAGGTCTCCAGGGTAGAAGCACTGGAGCTCCTTGAACTTGGTGGAGGTAGACGCCTTGGGGTCCTTGCTGCATTCTCTGAAGATGTCGTTCTTGGAGGTCGTGATCAGACCCCCTAAGTCGTAACCTATAAATAAGAGAGAAGATCGTTCAGACTGGGAAAAGTTTTGCTTCGATTAATAAGTAATCGGTAATTAAAGTTGACCTTTATTAGCTTATGATATAGATTGCCTTATTAAGGTCTAGAACACACAACCTTTTTCTTTTCCAGCGATTGGTCTAACTCGTACTAGTGTTGTTACGATGTTCTAGCTAAATACAGCTATTTAAAAATTCAATACATAGATCATATTATAGTTTCAGTCCATAAATTGGCGTCCACTTCCCAATACCCATAGATTGAGTCCCATTGAGAATGAACGGCAAATTGCACTCAAAGGTGCAGCAACTTTAATTAGCCTTCCGGCACAGGCATTAATTGAGGTTATAGTTTGGTTTTCAATCTATATATTATATCTATAAAAGCGAAAGGTCACTGATTGACTGACTCACTCATCACGAATTCTCAAAAACTACAAGTGCTAGGAGTCTCAAATATTGCATGGGGATTTCTTTAAGAACGTAGGTGCTCACTAAGACGGGGTTTTGCAAAATTTTACGTCTCAGGGGGTTAAACGGGATCGTACGAAGTCGCGGGCGGCCGCTAGTGATGCATAAAATTGTAACTACACTTCGAATAAAAAGGATAGATGCTTGGAAAATGTTCACTCAACAGTAAACTAAACTAAGAAGATGTTTACGCCAGCGCCGTTATTGCAACTTTATAAGATTCCAGAGTGTACTTAAAATTTCTAAACATAAAAGGAAGGCAGAAGACAATACACTTGCATGTTCGTTGCCCACTCAAACGTTATTACATTATATTTTGTAGAATAGGAACAAAAGCTAAGCTTATACCGAATACTGAATGCAATCAGTGGAAACTTCAGTTGAAAACAAATAAATGTGATACAGTCTTGTGAGAAGTAAAACGCATTGAAGAATAAAAATGCAGCCGAACGGAGGAATTAAAAGATTTATTTTACACTCGCTTTCCGCCCGCGGCTTCGCCCGCGTGGAATTTTGTCTGTCACAGAAAAACTTTATCGCGCGCGTCCCTGTTTCAAAAACCGGGATAAAAACTATCCTATGTTCTTTCCCGGGACTCAAACTATCTCTATGCCAAATTTCATCAAAATCGGTTGCGAGGTTTAAGCGGGAAAGCGTAACAGACAGACAGACAGACAGACAGACAGACAGACAGAGTTACTTTCGCATTTATAATATTAGTTGGGATTCCAATGTTAACGCGTCAGTGAACGCGACGGATGCAACGAGCGATTTAAAACAATATTGATCGAATGAATGCATCTCAATATACGAGGACATGCATGGAGGCTAGTGGAACTGAATTACGTATTCAGTTTGAAGCACTTGTAAATTGAGTTTCAAGTTTAGATTTGAACATGTTCGGCCGAGACTTCCACACATTCAAGTGGGGAGGTTACTAGTCACCAATAAAGATCTGCTGACAAGGCAGTTACCGAGTTTCAGACTACCTAATTAGAGGCGATGCAATTATTCACATTAGAACTGAGTGTTAGGAAGCTCTACGTTGTTAGGGTTAAACTCGAACTTCATAAATGAGCTGAATGTTGAAAAGTTTTGTGAAACACATGTAGCTAAACCACAAAGACCTTGTTAACGCGTAAACTAAATTTATACCATACTAACCACGTTAATTTTCAATGGCGAAATTGGCTCTTATTCACGGCTTTGGTGGATTACGATCGGCGCGCTAATTATTAATTAGGATCTCACGAGCCACTCATTAATTGTTAATTATTCACTAGCCGCAAGCCATTAGCTATTCTCCAGCTTAACTCTAAGCATATCACATCTCGGTCTGTCAAGACCGATTAGAGGGAGCTGAAAAGAGGTCGTTGACGTTGCCGCACCGCACCGCAATGATATCGCCATATCGCGCGCCGCACCGCACGTGTTCCCATCCCAACTAATATTATAAATGCGAAAGTAACTCTGTCTGTCTGTCTGTCTGTCTGTCTGTCTGTCTGTTACGCTTTCCCGCTTAAACCTCGCAACCGATTTTGATGAAATTTGGCATAGAGATAGTTTGAGTCCCGGGAAAGAACATAGGATAGTTTTTATCCCGGTTTTTGAAACAGGGACGCGCGCGATAAAGTTTTTCTGTGACAGACAAAATTCCACGCGGGCGAAGCCGCGGGCGGAAAGCTAATTACGAATATTCGTATTTCTATGCAAAGCCGGGTTCAGACAGGTGTAATGTGTAATGTAAGATTACGCGTGTAATGTAACACGAAATCACTTAACACACTTATAATGGACGGCATTACGAGCACAATATGTACATACTATTTCCTTACATTACACGATACATTTCATTACATTACGCATTACACCCGTCTGGTGGGCCTGGCTTAGACGACGCAGCGACACCGCTCCGGCGTCACACCATCACCGCACCGTAGGTATGAGGTGCTATCACGCCCACAAACACACACAAAATAATATCGTTTTTTATAATATGTAAATCTACGACGCCGCTGCGGCGACGCACCGCAACGTAACCGCCTGTGTGGCATTTCTCTAAGCATTAAGAGCCATTAATACTAATTAAAATGGATGCGGATTGGTCTATTCCTGTGCAGTCAGACGGCAGCATTTTCGCCCCCAGCGTATTTATTGAGCGCTCATAAATTAATTCCCATTACTATTTGAATACTACTTTTACTTAGTGAGCTTCCTTCAATAAGTTACTAGAGACTAATATTTGGTTAGTTTTTATAAAAATGTTTATTGTAATTTTTCAAATATAACGTTAAGGCGTCATAATAATATATATGTATTTTACATTTGATTGTTTTTATTCGTAAAATGTGATGTTACTAAAAACATTTTTTAATTAGTTAAAAGGTAGGTTACCGCAATAAATGTTTATTTTTTATGCACCAAAAATAAATTAATGGAACTGCATTTGAAAAAGATGAGGACAGTTGTTAAAAAAAATATTTTTTACAAACGTATCTACAAAAATACTAACGGATATCGATTTAAGTTTTTAAAGTGGATAATTAGTACTTATAAATCGAGTAAGTTGCAAAGTTGAAAGCCTTTAATTTAGTCATATACGAGTAGTAATAGCATACTGACAGCAATAATATACGAGTACTTACCTATTATAGAACCACATACCTAAAAGTTGTTACAAAGTTTCTTTCCCTGACTACGATTACAAACTACCACGTAACATGGTATGGTGCTACGAGCGGAACTACGATATTTGTAGTCGGGCGCTACGAAAGGGCTACAAAGTGAATGTAGCAACTGGTCAAACTACGACTACCTACGACTAGTACTACGGTAACCCGAAGTGCCCTATTCTGGAAAAACCTAAAAGACCAAAGGAAATGTTGAAAAAGGCAGGACTTGACGATGATCTCCAAGTTCAAATGATGTCTGTAGTGTTACTTAGGTGAAAAGAACATGTTTTATTGATCTAGCTGCTGAGTATGACGTCATCGACGCTCCGTCCAAAATAGCCGTTGTGATCTAGCTGTACACAAATAATACACGTCATAGCCTCATGTTATCATTAAAGGTAGCAGAAAGGCGCTGGCTGCAGGCCGCTACCAAACTGTAAAACATTGGGGAAGGCCTCAGCAGTGGACATTCTGTGTGCTTACCATGAGTTTACATAAGGTGTGCTCGCTAGCGACTGCGTAAAAAAATGACATTATAATGTATGACATATTGTGCAGCGCCCCTAGTGGCTACTTTCAAGAAATAAAATCTTCATAGAATTTTTTGACGTATTCGCTAGCGAGCACACCTAACGTAAACTCATGGTAAGCACACTGTTGTTGAAATGATGATGATAATAGAAGAATAGGTACATACCCCACGTCCCCTCGTCGGTGTGCTTGTTGTTCTGCGTGACGAAGCCGTCAGCAGATATGTAGAGCAGCAAGGCGCCGTTGGGAGGCAGGTCGTTGCAGGCACTGGATAGGTAGACCAGCATCTGGCAGGGCGAAGGCTTGAAGAGCAGGTACTTGTGCGGGTTGGAGGCCTTCTGCCCGGGTTCCACTCCTTCTGTAGCAATAACAACTCTTCTGGGGCACTTCTTTTTATGTTCTATGCTTGCCTGAACCGGACGGCGCATCACTCCAAAGTAGTTTTATAGTCGGTCTACTACTCGTAGTTCCATAATATTGCTAAGCACAAATAAAGTTCGCTTGTGTGTTAATTTTTTGAAAGTGCTATGATTTATGCTAATAGTCTAGATAACTGTGACTAACGAAGACTGAACTGAAGAACTAAGTAGGTCGTGCTAGCGATATTAGGTTTAGATTCGGTCTTCAGTGATTCGGGATAGCGTGCATTCGGGCTAGAGTTATTCGGTATTCCGCGCATTCGGTCTTCCGTGCATTCGGGCTAACGATATTCGGAATAACGTTTTTTAAGGATAAAGAGAATCGGGATTTCCATTTTCGGGATTAAGAATCACAGTCGAAAATTTTGCTATAATGAAACCGTCGCAAAGCTTTATAAAGGTAGGTCTATTTGTGAATACTTCGCATGGCATACTCTTCAATACAGATTACATACAATCCAGACATCATTATGCAACTCGCTCATAAACACAATCAAGTTCATACATACTGCACACACAATATCTAATTCATCATTTAGAAAGGCTCAAACATTCTGCTCGCATAGCCAAAAATTTTTTTTTATTCTTTAGCATTATTAAAAGCAATAAGTTTATTTATGAATGTTACAAAGTCTTTCTTTATAGTCTCGCTGCTTTAAGTTTTTAATTCTATACTTTTACATCAACTATGTTTAACGACTTTAAATTTAATGAGCAGTTAATGACTCTTAACATTTATAAGTCCAATTTTTTATTCATAGACATCATGAAAACGTTTTATAAAGCTACTTCAACGGTTGTGTTCGCTTTAGCAATAGAGCTTTGCAGCGTTGCAGTCTTAAAGGTGTTGAGCTCTATAAAATAATGAAGATACCTTAGTCTTATGAATCTTAATAAAATTTGTAACGTCAACCAATGATAATCTTTACTATCTAATTGACTATACAATGCTGCAGGTTTTAATATTTACTGACCTTGGCAAGGAGCGCTGGGCGTCGACATAAATCTCTGCCGTGGAGACTCGTCGAAGATGTGCTGAATGTCGCCAGACGGCTCTCTCTCCAAGGTCTGCAGCATCCGGAACATGTCCATCGTCAGCTCTGAGAACTTCACTTGCTGAGAACTGCTGCCCACTATCAGTATCTCTTGGAGAGAAAGGTTCATCTGCGGTGATCTTTCCACTGGAGGCGTCACCATAGGTGATAATCTGAAAAGCATCCTCTTTCAATACCAATTCTTCGATCTTAATGATAAAACTATAGAATTTTCAGAAACAAAATATTATAAAACAGTTAACTTTAATACCTGTGTGATAGAATCATCGTTTGGTTATCGGTGTTGACAACCGATACAATAGGCTCTGCGTGAATGAAGGCTTTGACCTCATCGACGACCACAGTCCATTCCACCTGGTCATCTGGGTCATAAGTATTCCCATACTCAATGATCTGTCTTTCGAGTTCTTTAATTAGCTCCTTAACTAGTTTCATTTTATTTAATAAAAGGCAGACTACTATGAATCTAAAACAAAAATTAATCACATTTATCATCTCAACTCAAACATGTAAATATCTTCACACTTCCAGTCCGGATAAATACAAAGTATATCAATTAAAACGCAGAGCCCACCTAGCATAGTATCTGAGCTTCTTCACCATCAACTCGCATTTATCTTCCTTATTTGCTTTTGTGTAGTAGCATCTTCCTCTAATAGCGTAATAGAATGAAAAAGCTTCGTTCAAGTAAGCAGTTTCACTAGTTCTTAAACTGAAAAATAAGTTTAGAAGGTATAGTAAAAGTACATCAATATTGAAATAAATATAATTTAAAGTATTTAACTATCAGAACTTACTAGAAATGGTAGTAAAGTTGGCCAATTTTTGAAGCAATTTCGCCTATTTGCCATCGCTTCATTCCGTATTTAGTATCCAAGATAGTGCGATGAGTTTGTTGATACTTCCATAGGCGGGTGTATATGTCAAAAGTGCGTCCAAAATACAAAGACCACTGCTTGTGTCCATATTGCGGTAACTCTCGAAGTCCATTAAACAACTGCTTGGACTTCTCAAGAAGATGACAAAATTCAATTATAATTTTCCTTTCGTTATCTTCAAGAGGGTTCATATTAGCAGTTGTAAATAGACGACTGTTTTCTTGTTTGTAATAATGATATTGTTCGTAGATGTTTGTTACGAATTCTGTTGGGTTGTAATTAACTTGAGTTTCTTTGTTTCCTATAAAACTGTGACTATTAATTGGAGTTTGTTCTTCTACGTAATATGTTTTGTCTTTATCACCCGCAAGCTGTCGAATAACTACCAAACGCGGGGCAAAAGAAATTGATTCTTTATTGGATTCTGAATATACCTGAAATTTTGTTGTCTTCTCTGGAAGATCTTCTGGTGCTTGACTTGCTGACTGGTACTTGCTGCTTGTGCTTGTTGAAGGTGAAAGTTCAGAGTATTTCTTCGGCTTTGTAGATGTTGAAGGCCCAAAAAATGAATATTTTTTCGGCTTTACTGGTGTTGAAGGAGCCGGTGACGGTGGCGGGCTATTATCATTAAGTAACTTTATTTCCGCATACTTTTGTTGTAGAACTTCGACATTTCTTGGCCAGTGAACTGAAGGACGATCTTTTGTTTTTTTATTAGTCTGTTTTATTTCTTGTGAAGAAATTGGGACTGATTGTAATATGTCATATCCAATTTGTGGATTAATAATGTCAGTGATTCCTTTATGGTATTGTCTTTTGCTTAAGCTGCTTTCATGCACAGGATGATCGACACCGTCGTCAGGTAGACTTTTGACAGAATCTAATGACGATTGTGTACTTTTTTTTGTTGTCTGTTTACGATCTGACGATTCGCTTAAAAAGTGAACTTCAGTTTCGGTCGTAATAACATATGAATCCGTTGAGGTTCGCGGTATTTCTGTACCGGTAGACGCTGTTGATTGGCGATGCAGCAAAGATCTTTTATGTTGTGGCGAAACACTGTTTTCATCTGGATCTTTCTGGGGTTTTTCTACAACATTTTCATACTTTTTCAAATCAGGACTTTTTTTGGCACTATCAGCAGATGATGATGCTCTTAATGCAGTTGGTGTAGGTGATTTATAAATAGATTGCTGGCGATGTAGGCTAGGGCGAGTCCTGAGGACTGGTTGCGGCGAAAGAGTTTGAAGTTCTATTAATTCCTGTATTTCTTCGTCAACTGGACTACCAACATTTCTTTCGCTGGTTTTCAAATCCGCAACTCGTTTACCTTTTCGTTTTGTGTTTGGGCCAAACTTTCCTTTTACTATAGGAGGAGTCTCAGAGGAAGAAGATTGTTGTATCCGCCAATATCGATATTGATTCCTACGACTTTCTTGTGGTTCCTTTGTTTGGCTTTTTTTCAAATCATTAATACGCTTTACAACACTTTTTAACGGCAACAATCTTCGTTTTGTGCCACTTGGCTTATCTTTTATAACCTCTTCCTCGAGCTCAAATTTAACCTTGGCTTCTACGGGACCCTTCTTATCTGCCTTAAATCTTCGATCGCCCTTCGCATTTGTTTCAGAGTTGGCTCTGGTTTGGGCGCCAGTTTTGTGTTTGGCGTCCTGATATTTTTGGTTCTTTTGTGAGTCAACTTTTTCTTTTTCACTGGCCTTTCTGATTTCAGTAACGTACGTGTATGTCGATCCTCTTTTTTCCCCAAGCACCGTAAATAGTCTGGTGGGGGGCGAGGATATCTCAAGGTACGTCTCGTCACCGTGAGCAAAGACTCGAGGAGGGCTTGCCGAAGGTCCAGCAGCTTCTGACGCCGCACTCGGACTCGATAGTTCCGGTTCTGAAAACAAAATTGAAAGTAGTAAATAAGTTAACAACATAAGTAAGAAAATTAGTAATTCAAATCATCACATCTCCAATTTGACTTTATTGACAAATTGAGACTAATTTATAATTATTAGACATCACTCTACAATGCATAGCATGAAATATCAATTTTTATTAAAATCCTTTTGTATGATAATCAATATCTTTGTTATTTTGTACAAAGTTATTAGTAAGCATTTATTAATTATTGCGAACGGTAAACCAGGCTATATTGTAGAAAGCATTAGTATTATTTTTTTTCATAATAATATTATAAGTTTATAATTTGATTGCATTACGTTACGTAGACATGAATGGTGTTAACATTGAACCTTTGGGGTTAGAGAGACACGACAAAACGGGGTTCCAGCCATAAAGACTGTAACCGAACAGATGCTAGCACATGAACTTGGTAAGATAATAAAGTTGATATAAGACTCTATGCTAAAGAAACTAAGTTCACAATTGATTGCGACAGTACTAATTTTTAGGTAGGTTGACGTGCTGGCAACTGTAGGTACCTTCTTTACACCAATTCAGTTGACTCTCAAATAAATGTGGAAAAATTGTACTAATCTGTAAAGGAAACGAATTACATAATAATGTTATATCTACAGGGTGGAAACGATAAGTGATCTCATTCGATTATTTCTAAACTATACAAGATATTTAAAAACTGGTTACTGATCCTGAAAGTGCCTCACGAGGTCTATCCAACGGTACCAATAATAGGTTACAGAATTAACTGGATCTATCCGAAAATTCAATGTTTCCAGCGTCCATACATTTAATAATACCAATCGAGTGAGATCACTTATCGTTTCCACCCTGTATAATATCAAAATTAATCACAAAATGTGTTGGTAAGCGCATAGCTCAACAACGCCTGGACCAATTTTACTAATTCTTTTTTTTAATATTCGTTGAAGTCCAATGATGGTTTTTACAGCGAGAAAAAAAACAAAAAAAAAATCCGGGAAAACCCTAAAAACAGCTCTTTTTTAGCCGCGGGCGGAAAGCTAGTGTTATACATATAAAAATGCCCCATGTGTTTTAGCAAGTAGAAGCTAACCCATCAAAAACAATACTTGTCAAAAAAACCAAGTCTCGCAACTCAGTTGTTCTACGGTAAAAAGTTGTGAGATCCATGTAATACCAAGTCCAGGCCAGGAAATCTTTAACGTTTTACATAAATTATTGTCATCAGCGTATAACAGGCAAGGGGATTTATTTTTTTCAATGAGATCGTTGATAAATGTAACGAAAAGTAACGGGCCTAAGTGAGAACCCTGTGGGACTCCTGACTTTATTAGAATCGCCTTTGATGCATAACCCTTGACGGTTACTAACTGACTCCTGTTTTTTAAGTAAGACTCCAGCCATCGTAATAAACTACCGTGTATCCCATGCGCCCCCAGTTTATGACATAAAACAGTGTGATCTACTTTATCAAATGCCTTTTTAAAGTCCGTATAGATGGCATCTACCTGACCCCCTATCGTTAAAAGCATCACATATGTATGTTTTAAAGTTAAGCAGGTTACTGACTGTGGATCGTTTTTTAATGAATCCGTGCTGCTCCAGACTTAAATATGGGGAATACGTTAGCTATTTTCCAGCGTGAAGGAAACACACCACTTCTAAGTGACTTATTAAAGATTAGTTGAAGCGGGAAGCTCAGTTCATCAGCACAAACTCGTAAAAACACGGGTGGAATGCCGTCCGGACCGGCACCTTTGTTATAGTCAAGACGCTTGAGTTTTGCCAATATTTCGTTCTCAGTGAGTACGATTTTAGAGAGAAGGTTACTACTTTGAGGACGACAATCGGCCAGCACTGTATCACCGCCTTTATCCTCGAATACTGACCCAAAATAATCCAAAATAGTTCACAGATCTCCTCGCCGCAAGAGGCTTTTTTTTCGCCAAATGTCATGGGTTCGGGAATGCTAGAATCGTTACGTTTTTTGTTCTTTATGTAGCTCCAAAATGGTTTTACATTTATAGTCAAAGCATTTTCGATAGATCTGAACTATCGAAAATGCTTTGACTAAAAATGTAAAACCACTGATGTACTATTGTACAGTCGCGGAATGAAAAGGTTCGTCACCTTAGTGTCGGTTTTCGCTTGCACTAGGTACTGTTAGAGTCAAACCTGCCAACATAACCGTGCAAGAAACAGTGCTGCTAACATTTAAATAAATATGACGTTTGCTAACGAATGAGGTTTTGCTTCTTTATTTTTCTATCCCATCAGTGCAATGTTACAAAATGTAGTTTTTTTATTTAATAGATAAGAGCGTTTACGCCGTTTGGCGCAAAAACAGTACTTTTTCAACCCGTTACAATCATTAACCAGTTACATTACAAATATGTTATAGGCATAAATAATTAGGCAATTTTGTCGTCTAAATAGTTAATTGAGAAAATATTTCAATTAGTATAGTATTTAAGAATTCTATCAAGATAAGTCCACACAGGTTTTCAAATTTCCACTTTAGCGTCAGTTTACAAGCTGAAATTTTTATAAAAAATCTGTGAAAACGATATAACAAAAATTTATATCTTATAGCATAGGTCCTTAGGCAAATAGTTAGTTGAGAAAATTCTTAGATTTAAGCATTTTACAATAAGAAATCACAAATTCAAAGAACGTGAAATACCCAAAAATCAAAGTGATTTTTACACCATTATTCGTCTTTAATTCAACATAAAAATAGCTTAATATAATAAAACAGCATCTTCTTTAAAATATTTACTTTGAAACGATATTATTCATTGTTATTGTTTTGCTATAAACATTTGAAAACTATTAAAAAACGCCCCTCGCGAATAATTTCCAATGTTGCCCCTTGAAATGCCGCGCTTCGCGTAAACGCTCATAATGGCAGGTTGAACCAACAAGAAGTTTTTAGTTTATCAATCATAATAATCTTCTTGACAAGTTAAATCGTCAAACAACTTTGATCTGAATAATTTTGAACTTTACTGACGAACAGTTAAAGATTATTTTCTCTAAATCGAGATTATTCTGTAACATAGTTTCAAAAGGTAATATTATTATGTGCTCGCGATTCGTTGAAGGAATCAATTTGAAAACTGACGAACCTTTTCATTTCGTGACTGTACCTATTAATATAAAGGCCGACTCACACATATCAGTGAAGTCACAGATCAGGCTCAGTACCAACACAGTGCGAAATATTCTTTCATACAGTTTCTATGAACGCATCCCCACTTGTCAGTGTCAGTGACGACACAGTGCTCTCAGTGTCAGTGCCGACACCGGCAATATAGACGTATTCGTTGACGACGATATTTTTTGTCGGATCACGGACGCCGCCGCGGCATCAATAAACAAAATAACTTACTTCATAGTTTCTGAACAAGAATATTGAGACAGCTCTCTGACATTTTAAAATATTTAAAATGTTTCACTGACGCAACACTGTAGCACTGATACTGAACTGAGCGGACACTGTGACGGAACTGTGGCTTCACTGATATGTGTGAATCGAGTTTTATAGCTCAGTAAGAAAGGTTCAATGGAAAACTTTGGAGCGATATCAATTTATACAATCGATATGTAATAAAATATCCGAAAAGCGGGCTTAATGGGTTAACGATAAAGGATTTTAGTGTTGATTGATAGTCTTAGGTTTAATTTCAATTGGAATCCTAACCTTTCGTCCTAATTATGTATTCTAAGAAAACATGATTTCTTAGCTATTCTAAGAAGTTTATTTCTCAAACATTTATAAACGTTGAAACCAGATTTGACTTAATTCTATGTATTTCAGTATTTTTTTAAGGTAGGTAACCACTTATTATTATTTAAAAAGTTTACAAATAATAATAACTCTTCAACCTCTCAATCACAAATACGAATTCATTAATTAAGTAACTTTTAACATTATAAAACCAAATAAATTGTAATAAAAATTTCATTTCTAATTGATTGTTATTCATTATCATCAAACAACTAGTCATCGTCTCCATTTACTTCTGAATAGGTAGGTACTTGATAGTACGAGTAATACTTGGTAATACTTGATGAGGTGTTAACAAAACTTTATCAAGCTGTTAACTACTTACATAGCTTAGAAACTTTGGATTTTGCACTACACTCAAGTCGCCGACTATTTTCAACCGACTTCAAAAAAGGAGGAGGTTCTCAATTCGACCCGTATGTTTTTTTTTTTTTTTTTTAATAATTACTAATTACCTACTTATTTATTAGGACGAATTATTAATATTTATGTAGGTATACCATGATTGATACTTTTGGAGTCGGTGCAGGCAAACTTTACATGTTTCATAATCTTGGCACCGACTCCAGAAGTATCAATCATGGTATACCTACATAAATATTAATAATTCGTCCTAATAAATAAGTAGGTAATTAGTAATTATTTTTCGACGTTTTAGTGTAGGTTTTTTGGAGTCGGTTTTAGAGGATATGGTTGTCTCGAATTAACACGTTAACGATGAAACACATACGTCGGCAAAGTCGGTGTGTGTGCTTTACAATTATCATCAGGTGAACAAACTTAAGATAATGTGTCAGGATTTTTTAAAGTATGGCTTACAAATATGAAATTCAGTTGATCCATGATAGAAGATATTTGGTTGATTATAAAAAATAACGACTAAATGAAACCCGCATAACTTAAAAAGAGTTATTATCAAAGTACACTGAAACAACCTGAAATTGAAACGGAAAGCTAGTAAATTAATTAATAAAAGTTATCAATCTAGCAGCTTACATTATCTTAAAGTCAGCTAATCGGAGATTTTAACTCTGTGCATCAGTATCATCATCATCATCATCATAATTTCAGCCATAGGACGTCTGCTGCTGAACATAGGCCTCCCCCAATACTTTCCATAGTTTCCATGTTGATCGATTGGTAGCGGCGGAAAACGCAGCGTGGGACGTCCACCTACAAGGTGGACCGACGACATCGTAAAGGTA